AATAATATATTTTTATTTTTATAATTATTTCCTTAAATTTTCAGTTTGCTTGTAAACTGTATTATTTCAAGAATTCGTTATAAGCGAAGAAAATTTGAAAGTCGGTTACAAAACATACTTTTTTAAACTCGTATAAACTATGCTATATTGTATGTTAATATATTGAACAGCTCTTTAAACGTCTGGCAACATTGCACATAATTTTCTACTCAAAACTAAATGTAAACAAGTGATACCAAACATTTGCAACCAATCAAGTCAAATCACAAAATAATGGTTTCTGTTTCGATTAGTTTAGTCAAGCGATAGAAAAACTTTTTATAAATTCATTACACATTAGAAGAATTATTTTATTGAAGTATTCTTCCTTTTTTGTCAAAAGATTGACACCGAGATTTATTGATAGTCATGATATAAGCCGCGGTATAAACTTAGGGTCCGTCCATAAACCACGAGGACAATTTTTAACCAATCTTTGACCACCCCCCATCTAATATGGAACAACAATTTTTACTTTATGTAATTGACCTTAATTTTGTCACTTGGTGGTTTCTAAGGTCGCTGATTACGAATTTGATGTAAGTTTTCATAAATTTAAAATGGCGGAATTTTCTTTTTAATTTATGCAATTGACCTTAATTTTGTTACTCGGGAGTTCTAATACCAGTCAGGTAGGTGTAAATGTCCTAGGAGCGCTCACTGACAATTGACTTCTGTTTTAGAACTTGCACCGACTCATAACCAGCGAGCGTGCATAGAAATTTTTTTTGTCCAACGCCTTCGTAGAAATAGAACTATTGTACGCTAGGCACCAATGGAGGAATGTAGTACATTTCCCCACTGGTGGTTTGTCCAGTGGAGAAATGAAGTCATTTCACATTTTAGGAACAGAATTTTGAGGACACTCTGGGGATCTTTAGGGACACTTTCAAAACATTCATTTTTGAAAAAATTTTTTCCAAAAATTTTTTTCAAATTTTTTTTTCTATTTTTAGATTTTTTTCAAAATTTTTTTCAAAATTAGATTTTGTTTCACTCTCAGTTATTGCTATAACATCATTGTAATATTTTGATTTCGATAAATAACGAGTAAAGTGAACTTAAAATTTTGAAAAATTAATAGTTTAAATTTATTATATATAAAAAAAATTTTTTGCAGTTGTTGGACAAAATAGTATGTGCAACTTGTAGAGAACAGCGATTTTCGCTCGCTCGATTGCTGCGCGCGCTACGCTTGCGCAGCAAACTTCGAGCTCGCGAGAAATCGCCCTTATTCTCCACTCGTTGCACAATCTACTATTTAATTTCTCTTCCCTATATTATATTAGCCGCTTTTCTTTTATGATTTAAATTGTTTTGTTTCATTATTTGTTTTTCATCTACATTTTTCGCTTTTCTGTAATTATGTTTTCTTAATCTATCATTCTCTAGTCTTATTTTTTTCTGTTCATCTGTTTCTTCAAACCTTGCCTTCCTTTTCCTCTCCCTGTCTTTGTCCTTGTCTGATTCTTTTCTCATCAATTTTTCAAATTTAGTAATATGATTGTCATTTAACTTTTTTCCTTCAGTATTTAAAATTTTATAATCTTCATCACTTAAATTTTGTGGATCTTTTGTTTCAATTTCTATTTCTAGAGCTACTTTAATTTTTTTACCTTTTAAATTGTTTTGCTTTATTACTTTCTCTTTATCTATATTTATAGTTTTTTGGTAATTACGTTTTCTCAGTCTATCATTTTCTAGTCTGATTATTTTCTGTTCATCTGTTTCTTTGAGCCTTTCCTCCCTTTTTCTCTCCTTATCTTTTATTGCTCGATGTCTCTTTTTCTCATAGTTTTCATTTTTATTAAGCTTCTCCTCTGAATATTCTGTAGATATACCTCTATTCACATTATTATTACTAATACTGATACTAGTTTCACAAATAGAAGACGAGTTTGGTATTTCTATGAGTTTTGTAGCTCCATCCGTTGATTGGACGTTTCCAATCATACTCAACAAAAAAGGTCTAATAACATTTGTCAATTCCACGGAAGGAAATAAAATTAAACGATTATTTTCAAACATAAAAATTAGATGTCGTCTCATTTCACTATGAATATAATTAACAGGATTTGGCAATTCATTGTAATACAAAGATGTTGCAAACGCAATTGCATATATGCCACAGTCAATTCCATTCGGCTGTAGATTAACAGTTGAAAAAACTACCGGTTATTTGAAAGGATATAATCTAAGTTAATATTTTTTTTGATCTTCATTTAAGTATCCCTTATTAAGACTGTTATAAATATATAGCCTTAATCCATCATAATAAATACAAATCCAATGACCAGATTTGCAAGCACCACTAAAAAGTATTTGAATGTGCTTCTGATTTTTATCAATCGGAATAATGAATTCAGGCGTAATTAAATATAAAGTACTTTGCATGTTAAATGCTAAATTTGATTCTCTTCTCAACAACTTTCCAAATTCAGTAATATGATTGTCATTTAACATTTTTCCTTCAGTATGTAGAACTCTATGATCTTTATCACTTAAATAAACCTTTTCTTCTTTGTTAGACACAATTTTTTAATAAAATGAACAAATAATAGAATATTTTTCAAAAACTTATTTTTAGAAAACAGGTTTAAACTTAAAACTTCTAAATCATAACTAAATAAATGAAAATAATGAATGAATATAAATAAATTTTTATAATTTATTTTATATTTAAATTTATTTTATTTATTATATATTTTAATTTTAATAATAAATAGTCATCTAACTTCTTATAAATCTCATATTTATCTCATAAATCATAAATTCGCATAAATAACATAAGTCACATAAATCTCATTTTTGTCCCATATAAATCAAATAATTTTCATAATTACTGTAAAAAGAATGGTACTAATTAAGTACAAATTTTGGTACTGAATCTTCATTTGGTTCTATTTTAATACCAAAAATCAGCTCTAATTTAGAACCATTTATTTACAGTGAAGTCACATAAGCACATATAACTCATGAATCTGAAATGAATCATAAACACATACAATTCATAAAGCTGATATAAATCATTAGCACATAATCTCATATAAATCATAGGCACATAAGTACAAATAAATATATTAAAAATTGCAATACCTTACCTATTATAACTTCAAAACATTTTAATCAAAACTTATCCAAAACAAAATTAACAAAAATAAATTAATGTATTTACTCAATAACAAAATTATTTAATTCAAAATTTTTTTTTAAAAGTAGATTTATTTTCAAAAACATATACCTCGTTCTTAATCGCCCTCTTTTTCACTCATTAATCTATCTGTGAGTGAGAAAAGAAAAATAATTAGCCAATAAGGAAATAAGACGCCCATTTCGTATTTTGGCTTGTAAGTAAAATTCCCCACTTTTCCTTCCTCCATCAAATTCTGTTCCTCTCTTTCTACCTGACCCGAAAAATGGAGAAAACATGATACCCCCTTCTAAACCCAAAAAGTGGGCATTACTTTCTTAACTATTCGTCTCTCTTTCGCTCCCACTCTAAACTAAAAGGAGAGACAATACCTCCCTCCCTCTCTTTCTCTCTCACTGTAAACAGAATATATAAGGAAAGACTAACTTAATATATATAGATATAATAATAATATTCGCCTCTCTTTCGCTCCTACTCTAAACTAAAAGGAGAGGCGATACTTCCCTCTCTTTCTCTCTATCAAACTTTCTCTCTCACTGTGGACAGAATGTTCACGATCTGGACAGACTGAATGAATGAATACGAAGTTTATTATAGTTAATTCGTGGTTTTCTACTCAAGAGCTTCTGTGGAAATTTTCTTCATCTTTAATGATTTAAAAATTGCTGGAAACCGCTTAAAACTGGTTTCTTAAGGGTTTTTATCATTGACATTTACGAACATGGAGCTTAATTTAAAAAATTGACAATGGCAGATCGGATTTGGCCGAAACTCATTGCTTGGGGGTTTTAGGAGTCGTTAATTTCAAATTTGAAGTTAGTTTTTTTTATATTCGCCATTTTCAATTTCTGAAAACTGTCATCAATTTTGTATTTACCGACCCCGAAAATCCCCATATAACCAGTTTTAAACTGGTTTAAATTTAATTTTTTAATTTAATTTTTAATTTTTCAAATTTTTAATTTTTCAAATTATTTATTCAAAAATGTTTTTAAAAATTATTAATAATAATTAGGTATTATTTATTTACGAAAAACTAAATTTACTGCTGTAACAGATAGGAGTTTTTATTGTGTCGATGAACACTGACAAAGAAAGATCCTTTTAAAAATGATTATTTTCTTTTTATTTCATCATGTTATGTACGAATCGTAACAACATGTACACAACAAAGAGTCTTAATGTATCATTTAATTTTCTTTTATTGCGTATGAGTTTCATTTATTGCAAAAAACTTATTTAATTTTTGGAAAGAATTCCTAACAAATATTTTATTTTATTCTTTATTACCAGGCAACAAATTTTTTTTATACTGCATAAGGAATATAATAAGTATTTTTTAAATGAAACGTACTTCAAGGACGATAACGGAAGAGAGTATTCATACTATATAAACACGTGTATTTATTTTTCATCGAATCTCATGAAATCATGACGAATGCAATCATTAATCGTCAAAATTTTTAAAAATTGATGTTATTTATTTAGAAAAATGTAATGAACGTGACATTTGTCTCTGTCATGAGAATGACTAATATCTACTATGTAAGACACTTAATAACTGGGATAAATAAAAACACTGATAAGGACACTTTTACCACTTAAAATTTTGCATACTAGAAGTTTTACCACATTTTGTTCAAAGAATCGGAATGTTTATCAAGATGTTTGCCCTTTTCTAGAGAATAGAAGTTTCCTAATGAGATTTATCCCTCCATTTATCTTAGTTACCAGTTAAAGTATTTTATATTATAATGAAAAAAATTTATTGACATGCATTACATATCGTTAATATTTTCATTACCAACAGATAAATCTGTTCTGGGCAACAATCCTTTGGAGGTATATGAAATATATAATTTTTAAAACATTAAGTACAATAATATTTTTGAATTACTTTTTTAACACTTGTGAAATGAATGAATGATAATGATTGCAAAGTACATTGTTCACTTTCAGAAATATCGTTTCCCATATCAAAATTCTGCAGGAAAGGTAAAAATTTTTCTTCAGTATTTATTACATAAATGAATGAATACTCTAAATAGAGTGCATGGAGAATCTGCCTGTTTAAATAAACAAGTACTGATATAACAGTTTGCAAGAATGCAGAATGCAAGAATGCAGTGGAAATATTATATTAAAAGTTTTTAAAAATTATTGATATAAAATAAATAATTAAATTATTAATTATAAATAATGTAGGTTGAGTTATGGCCCAATTCAGCAGTTTGGATATATCAAAAAGAACTTGATAAAATTATGGACTTGCCTTTACTTTATCCAAGAACCTTTATAAGAGCGTTATTGCAAAATTTAATTGGTATAAATGAATTACACCACTTTTCAAAAAGATTAAATTATCCGGAAGAATTACCTATAAATGTCAAAGTCGCAGTCCTTAGTGAGTTTTACCTCATTTAAAGCTTATTCATCATAGTTTAAAATTATAAGTAATTATAATTCTTTGATGCAAATGGTCTTACTAATTCTAATGCAATTGAAATGTTTATTTTTAGAATTCGTGAAGGATATTTTTAAAACTAAGAAAAACTTAACAGATAAAGTTTTAAAAGAGGCATTACGTCATCTACTATATCTTATTTCAAGTATTCCAAATAAGGGTGATAATAACCAAACTATTATAAATAAATAACTATCTATCTCATTTGTATGAAATATTTTTTCATTATTTTTTAAGTAACTAATATTGCAACTGTCGTTTGGGTGGTAAAACATATACCATTTTAGCTAGACTCATTAGATTTTTCATGACTCTTTCGCTGTATGCAAATAAAATGTGTAAAGTTGATACCCCGCCTTCATGGAGTTGGATTTTTACATCAATCAGTATCTGTTTTTTAAAATTCAAAATGGCGGATCCAATATGGTGATCGAAATTTTAAAAAATTTATCGGATTTTCACAGCATTGTATATTCAGGGGTTTATAGGGTCAATGACTATGATTCTAAAGTTATATGGGTGCTTCTCTCAAAATACTCCTTTTTGTGAGTTACAAACAAAAAAGAAAAAAAATTATTATTTGTGGATTAATGCAGTCAATTATATTGAGCTTTAAAAGATCTACCACCTTAATAGCATAATCATGCTAACTTTCAGCTTTTAAAGTATATATTTTAAATTAAAATTCACAAAAAAATCAAGAGGTTAAAATTTGGCGCCGGTGTTTCATTTACAAAGTTAACCTTTTTGAAAGTGATAGAAATAAGAAAAAATAGGATATTTTAAATATTTTAATTAATTAATTAATTTTATTATTTAAACTGAATTACCGTTATAAAAGATCTCTTGTAACAATTGTCAAAAATTATTTTTTTAACATTTTAGGTTGATTTTTCACTGATAGTTTGTAAACAATCGACAATCAATATCAATTCTTAATTTGTATTCAGAAAAGTGAGAGGAATGACGGGTGAGAGGAATGACGATTTCAACATTTTTTAATTTTATTTAATTGGCAAATAATTTTCCTCCAGCTTAGAATGCCCTATCATGTTGATACAGGAAAACTTTATGTGAAACAAAATTGCAATCAATTTATATCTACTAATATTGTTTTTATTATGAGTGAAAGGAATGACGCTTTAGGTTGTGAATCTCTGCTTATGTCTCAATTTTAATTCTTTCAACACAAACTAATGACATTTTTTAAAAAGTAACTTAAGAATTAATATTAGAGATGATAATTGAAATATTGATCACAATAATTAATCAATATTACTACCCACAGCAGGTGGGGGGTCAATTTTCCCAAAAAAAATTATTCCCAAAAAATTTTTTCCCAAAAAAAATTTTTCCCAATATTATATTTCCCAAAAAAAAATTTTCCCAAGCAAATCATTTTTCCCAATATTTTATTTCCTAAAAAAAATAATTCAACATTGTCCCCCAATCTGTTCGAACTAGAATTTATTAAAAAAAATTTCAAACTAGAATTTACTCAAACTATTATTTTTTCAAACCAAAATTTATTGTAACTACTATTTTTTCGAAATAGAATTTACTCAAACTACCTATATTATTTTTTCAAACTAGAATTTATTGAAATTAGTCTCTTTTCAAAATTTGAAACTATTAATTTGTCGAACTAGAATTTATTCAAACTAGAATTTTTTTAAACTATTATTTTTTCAAACTTGTTACGTATTTACAATCACTTGGACATTACGTTCGAATGTGATTATTTACTACTAATTTGGCAATAAATATACATTTTGGAAAAAATACAACATTGGGAAAATTTTTTAGGAAAATTATTTTTTGGAAAATCCAGCATTGTGAAAAAATATTTTGGGATAAACTGTTTTGGGAAAAGTTTTTTTTGGGAAACGGATTTGGGGAAAATTGTCCACCAATCCCCACAGCAAAAATATTGGATAATATTCAACGGATGAGAGGAATGACGCGGTACTATATGACAAATTTCATTTTCTATATTTAAAAAATCTGCACGACTTATTTTATTCATATTTTAGCGAAATGTTCTTAAATATCATAACTTTTAGAAAAAATTGATAAAGTATCAATTTTCACGTTTCAAATAATTATTTTACGTATTAAAAGAATGAAAAGAACTTAAATGACAGGTTAGAAAATCGATGAGGTATTTTGGTGAATCACCCATATATGAAAAATACCAAACGAAAAACTACCAAACAGCAAGTATCATGCAAAAAGATTCGATTTAACAGAAATGTATTCACCATATTGGATTTTCTATTTAAAATGTTTTAAAAATGATTTCAAATTCATTTGTAACCACAGCACGCCAGAAACCTATAAATAATAAATTATAGGCTTTGTCAGTTTAATGGTTTTTTTATGAAACGCAGTATATGATAGTAAAAGCTCATATTCTCTCTTAGATATATATATATTTATATGGTCAATTTCACGAAAAGTTACCTATGACCTTTAGAATTCGTTTAAATATTTTTTTTTCTTAATCTTTATAGAAAAATATGAAATACGTATTTTTTTATTTTTGTTTAATCGCCCAAATTTTCGAGTTATGAATTTTCGAAATTTTGGATTTGTAACTGTAGAGTGTAGACATATTTTCATTAGCTTATAAGTCTGAAAATATTAAATTTAGAAAAAACTTGTCAGAGAATGAAAGTTTTAGTTTTCTTTCGACTTCTAAGAAATGTAAAAAATTTTTAAAAAAATTTTTTTTTGGGTCAGTCTATTATATTTCACCTGAAGCCGTTGCGGCCTATTTTTAAAAAAATCTCATAATTTGTAAAAATGATGTTTAATATCCATAGAATTCATTTTTGAGAATTATTTTATAAAATTTGTTGAATTTAACTTAGAATTTTAATTTTTAAGTTGAGTTGGACAGATAAAAGGTTAGATTGTCAGTTATAAAAATTTAATAAAAAAGCATGGAAATAAATTAGATAATACAAATTTCTTGATTTATATTTGTTAAAAATAAGCTAATTTACTTGTATAAATAGATTATTATGTAAACATACCCAAAAGAATAGATAAAAATTAATTTTAAAATTTCCTATGAAATGTCAAAAAACACTACATTTTTATTACATTTTTCAACAAAGTTTATAAATATTAAAAAATTTATGATTATTTAATGTAAAGTGTTTTCAATGTACTTTCATAATATGTGCTAACTTTTTAATTTTATAATATACACGGAGAGAAGAGTTATAGTGAGTTGTACTATTACGCATTTAGTAAGAAAATTTGAGTTGTGACAAATAAATATTAAGTAAAGGTTAGAAAACAGCGTTCAATTTTTTTTTGTCGATCGAACTAAACATACTAGTAAGGATGAATATCTGCTTAGTAAAGCAGACAAAACTAATTCTGTTTACATTTTTAATCATATTATTAAATGAACTTAAAAAAAAATATTAAAATTAATTAAAAAGCTACCTATTAAAAATTAAACGAAATCGAGAAAAAATATTATTTTTCAAAACTTTATTTGCAGTGTTATACTTATTATTTATGCTTGTTATTACAACAAATATTAGGTTATTGTTATCATAATAATTATAAAAAAAGTTTAGCTGTTTATTCAAATATGCGACAAATATATTTTGTAAAGAAATATAGCTCTTATAATTTTCTCTATTTAACTAAACAATTACAGAAATTATAATTTTTAAATTGATTTATTATTGTTACCTTATATCACCGTCAGTGTATTTTTGTAAAATATTACTTGATTTTCTTCTCGTTCCCCATATATAACAAATTTTTGGAAGAATAATTAATTAATAATAATTATTTCTAAATAATTAATTATTTATAAAGTGTTAACTATTATATTAATTATTATAAAAGAGGTTAAATTTTATTTTTGTAAATTGTAAACAGAATCGCAGATATGACAATTTATATCGTAGACGATACTAATGAAGTTAGTAGTCTTAATGACTAAACGGCCGTTTAGTGAAGATTACTTTTTGTTTTGTTGAACGAAAATGTCACCATATTATTTAGTAACTATGACTCAGGGCTGAGTAAGATTGACTACTTTCTTCTCTCCGTGTAGAAATATGAAAAATTTTACCTTTAATATTAAGTGTTAAATGAATTTCAATGATTTTAATCACTAATTTCTTCTCAGGTGCAGGACTAAAAGATCCAATTTTTGTCTTAATATTCAAATTTGACCTTCTTTTTCATTCTATTAAATTTCGGTGAGGGAGAACGAGGTACTTTTTAGTTTAAATTTAGTTTAAAAAATCTGCCGAAAAACGAATTTGTTGGTCAAAATGCAAGTAAATTTTTGCAAGACTATTGATGCTGATTCAACACTTACTCAGCGCTCCGCTTTTCCGTGGCGCTTTGCGTGAGATAGAAAAAGACAGAGACTATCTCTGTCTTTTTCTGTCTCACGCGAAGCGCCACGGAAAAGCGGAGCAACTGGGTAAGTGTGGAATCAGCATCAGATAGCCAACTTCAGTATTATAAATTAATAATAATTTATAATTATTATTATAAAATTCATAATAATATAATTATATATATTATATTATTGTAATATTACTAATATTGTAAAATTCCTTCAAAATTTAAAAATCTGTTGAAATATGAAAAATTTTTGTCTACTTTTAAACTTAGATTAATATCAACGTCAACGTTTCTAGGTGCTAAAATTGCACACTCCGACATCTCCTCAAATTTATTTTCTTGTATAAACTGATTATACATTTCTTCAGCAATATCTACATTCCCTTTCTAAATAATATGTTCTGGTAATATAACATTATCATCTGCATCATTTAATTCACCATTGCCAACTTTAAGATAAAAATCTACAAATTCCGATTCTTGTGGTAAAGCTCTCATATTATCTGTTAATGTGTATTTTTTGAAATATTTCCATATATAGTTTACTATTTTTTATTGATAAATTTACTATTTCTGATCTAGTACCCCGTTCTTTAACTGGTAAAGTTTGTCGAAAATATCCGCCTAGAATTACAATTTTACCACCAAAAGGTTCGTTGGAATTCATTATATCTCTTAATAGATAATCCATAATTTCTAAAGTATATTTTGGAGCCATTGGTGCTTCATCCCAAATAAAAACATCTATATTTTTTAAAAAGAGGCCTTCTTTAGATTGAACTTTAATGTTTAGAGATGAATCACTGTATAATGGAACGGGTAAGCCTAAAACTTTATGAACAGTTTTTCCATTAGGAAGCAGAGTCGCAGCTATACCTGTAAATGCCATGTTGCAAACATTTTTTCCTTTACTTCTTAACAAATGCCATAGCGTAATGTATAAAAATGTTTTTCCAGATCCTCCACAACCATCAAAATATAAGCACTTAGAACCATCAAAAGAAGAATCCTTTAGGGTATCAAATACATAATCGACTACAAGCTTTTGTTTTACATTTAATTTAGCATAATTCTGTTCTCCTATGTTAATATGTTCTGCAATATTTATATCATTAACTTGTTCAGTAAAAATTTCATCTTGTATATCTAATAACCCCTGAAAGTCAGTTAAATTATATCCTTCGTTAAATAACATTGTTTTAATATTTCTATAAGCCCTTTGTTCAGCTTCAATTTCTCCCATTTGTTAAAAACAATTTTTAACTGTTATAAACAATAATAGTTAACAAATAATGAACATTGGTTTCTCTGCACCCAAAAGAATTTTTTTATAGTTTTCATTGAATTTATTGCAAATAATATATGTCAAAATAAATCAATAAACAATTTAATATAAATATTATATTAATTGTAGTTATTTTATTTTAATTTTAATTTTCATAAGCACAAGAAAAGAAAATAAAAAAAACATTTAATATAAATATATATTAATGTAGAAAATTAACTATACAGCTCTTCGACTAGTGTATGGGCTTGATCTGAGAATATAAGAAACGTGAACGTCCAGGCTGTGTTGGCAAGGTGCATTGGTAGGCGTTAGTCCCGCGATAGGCAGCGATTAACTGGGGTTCGAGTCCTTACAGATGCACAGTGCAGTCGTTCACGCAGTTTACTTTTTCAGATAAAAAAAAATTTAATTCAAAATATAATTATTTACCGACAACCATATCCGAATAATTATCTTAAGAATAACACCTGACTCTAAACCAAAGAGTTTAATCGACATCTAATAGATGTCACTAATTGCTCATATAGTCGAAATCTTTCATAATTAAATATATATCGTTCACTCCAAGTGGAATGTACGTATGTTTAAAGAACATTTTAGAAGTTACGTATCTTCTACGTTCAGTGAAGAAACCACGTATCTTTCTGTTCCGTGCAAAAACTACGTATCTCTGTCAGTCGCTTTAGAAACTTCTAATAATATTCTAATATTTTTAAGAAAAAAAATTTAATTATTATTAAAAATATACATTTTATTGCATCAACTTTTGAAAAAATTATTAATTCATAACAAAATATTTACTTCAAAATAATAATAATAATAATAATAATAATAATAAAATGTAGATCTTCTAAAGTGACTGACAGAGATACGTAGTTTTTGCACGGAACAGAAAGATACGTGGTTTCTTCACTGAACGTGGATGATACGTAACTTCTAAAATGTTCTTTAAACATACGTACATTCCACTTGGAGGGAAGGATATATTAAATTGTATATAATTATTGAACAAATTATTGCACATATTCACTATTTTTTAAACATATAGTCTTTGTAATAAACTTCAATGAAAACTATGAAAAAAAATGTGTTTGGTGCAAAGAAACCAAAGTTCATTATTTGTTAACTATTATTGTTTATAACAGTTAAGAATTTTTTTTTACAAAAGGGAGATAAATTTATTAAGTGTACCTGAAGTACAATATAAATATCAAAGAAAAAAGTTTTTTTGATGGAGAGGAACCAAAGTTAACTATTTGTTAACTAATATTGTTCATAACAGTTTAGATAAATTATTTTATGATTTACTATTTATCTGGAGGTCATAAATTATATTAATTGAAACTGATTTAGGACATGTGTAGTAAAGAAATAAGAAAATTATCTTTTATTTTTAAAGGAAAGTACACAATTAATTTGTTTACTTTTTGTTTTTTAAAAAAATTATGAATATAATTGAATATTCTCAGATTTTCATGCAGAGATATATTGAGAAATTATTCTCCTTTTATTTAAAACAAAAAACACTCAAATCGATTAAAAATTGTAGTCTGCAGACATTTTTGAGAGGTAAATTGTACAATAATCCCATTGTGAGGCGTTTCGTAGAACGCGAGCACCTTGCACGTGAGTTTTGAAAATTTTGTAAAACTCATTAAACGCGACGGCCCACTCTAAAACTTTTTGGAAAATCTTCTGTATATTATAAGGTGCAAATAAATTTTTAAAGAATAAAAAAAAATCGGGTGCAAAGTTAAAAAAATTAATTTCTTTATAAAAAAAATTTTGTTTACATTTCTTAAAAGTCGAAAGAAAACTAAAACTTTCATTTTTTGACAAGTTTTTTCTAAACTCAATATTTTCAGACTTATAAGCTACTGAAAATATGTCAACAGTTACAAATCCAAAATTTCGAAAATTCATAACTCGAAAATTTGGGTGATTAAACAAAAATAAAAAATACGTATATCATAATTTTTCTATAAAGATTAAGAAAAAAATTTGTTTAACCGAATTTTAAAGGTCATAGATAAATCTTACGTGCAAGTCCCCATATATATATATATATTAGAGGTGTGCAAAAAGCTCGAATGGCCGAGTCGAGCCCGAGCTCGGCTCGATGTACCCGGTACTCGAATCCACTCGACTACTCGAAAATTTCGGGTACTCGAATAATTCGAGTACCTGTTATTTTTGAGTACTTGCACCAGTTTCAGGAAATTTAGGTTCCCATCAAAATAATCATAGCTATAGACAATCACTAAAGTGCACCCGGGTGTCCAGGAGTCATGTGAACATCATCTTCAGGAAATTTTTGTTTCTTTAGAATAATCATAGCTATAGACTAACGCTAAACTGCAACCGGGTGTCCAGAAGTCATATGAAAATCATCCTCAGGGAATTTTGGTTTCTACTGAATAATCATTGATTTAGACTAACCCTACAGTGCATCCGGGTGTCCAGGAGTCAGGTAAATGTCATTTTCAGAGAATTCTGTTTTTTTCGAGTCAGCATGCTGCCAAAATAACACTAAAGTCATCCAGTTGCATTTAAGTGTTAGTCCTTAGCTATGATTATTCATTAGAAACCAAAATTCTCTGAAGATGATGTTCACCTGACTCCTGGACACCCGGTTGCACTTTAGGGTTAGTTTATGTTTATGATTATTTAATAGAAACCAAAATTCCCTAAGGGTGATTTTCACTTGGCTCCTGCACATCCGGGTGCACTTTACGGTTAGTATACAGCTCTGATTATTCGATAGAAACAAAAATACTCTTATCAATTGACTCCGGGGCATCCAGGTGTACCTTGATGTCAACTAGAAGAGTATCTAAATAATTAAATATTCAAGTTTTATTGTCACGAGTACTTGAACTTTTTGGGTACTCGAAATAATCGAGTACCCGAAAAATTCGAGTCAAATTCAACATGTGTTCTTTAAAAATGGTAGGTTTTTATTATGAGTTTCGTTTCTAAATTTAACGTTTGAAGTCATTGCATTCCATATGTATAAGTGTCACATATTCCTGTAAGGGTTCAAATTACTTCTTATTGTATAGAATAAACCCTGTTATATGTTTACATAAAAATCTTCGTTAAAAATGTTATATCAAGTTAATTTTTAAGTTGTCAAAATTTAAGAAAAATTGTATTGCAAGTTTGAAGTTACGCTATTTTTTTCTAAATTGAGGCACATCATTATCTCAATGACTTTTTGGTTCTTTATACTCCAAACTACTTCTACTATAAGTCACAAAATATCCCATTCTAGTAAGACCTTTAAAAAAGTTTTTGAAATAATATATTTTACCCCCCAAGCGACAATATGTTCTGAATTCTTTTGTAGATTTATATTTGCATTTTATCTGTTTCTATTAGCAAACGAGAACAGTGACCTCTTGCAGGTACATGATAATTCAAAGCGTTTTATAAGTGCACTGCCCTGTTGGAAGTATATGGATAAAAATTCTATCCAATTTAATATTTTTTAATCCAAAAGATTAATAAAGATAGATTATTTCTATCTTATTTTATTCGTGTCATACCTTTTTTATTCTATAGTTATGCATGACAATCCATATGTATCCTTTTTTTATACACATAAATTTATATACAAATAAATTTCAAGAATTTTATCCAAACCAATCTTCAATCCTTATTAATACATTCTTAATTCAAAATTTAATTAACCTCTATTTATCTTAACTTTTCTATCCAAATTTATTCTGGTTTTTTCTTTGTTAATCTCTTGTAATCCCTACATTTATCCATTGTATTTCACATCCATACGAATCACTTAAATTTTATCTTAATCTATAATTTCTTTACCTGTTTCAATCGAAGAGGAAACCAATCTTTCTTAATCATATTTTTTATCAAACATAATCTATTTTCAATAATCTTCAATATTTTCTATGTCATGATCTAATTAGAGTTTTATATCTATATAAATCTCTGGAATTAAATCTCAAACAATTTTTTTCAATAGGCTAATTTTATTTAATTACATTAGTCTGGAACTAAATATATCTTTGACTTTCAAACATTATTGTATCCAAATCTATCTATTATAATTGTTTCTAATAGTTAATTTTACTATCAATCGAATAACATAGATAACTTGCAAACTAAAATTTATATCAGTTATATAAAAATATTGAAAAAATTATCTATATAAATAAATTATTTTAACCATGTGATTGAATTATATTATATAACAATACTCAACGGTATTTGACAACTGTATACACCTAAATTATTACAACAAATATTTTAGAAATAATTTTTGTTCTTTAGTCCTTTAAAAAAATATATATTTTATGCATATGTTCTATTTTCTAATAATATTTATATTTATTTTCTTACATATCTGAATAAAATATCTTAAAAATTTGAAATGCTATATTAAAAGCAGAATTATAAAGCGCATGAAAGTTGGCATCACTGACGTCAGGGTTGTCGGCTGATCATAGCGTCCGACATTTTGAGATTCATTCGTTCGGTTACGTTCGTTGAGAAAAGTTGAAGGCTTTGCACCAGACCATGTGCAGTAATAATGTACATACTAAACTATTGGTTTAGAAAATGACGTTAAAACCGTTAAAAATAATAAGTGATTAATATTTAATGCTGTTCAGAAACAAGTGCATTCAAACAAAAGAACCTCAAATGTCCCAGTTCTGCTTATTCATTTTTAAAAGTGAATTACTGTCATGCATAGCATGAAACACCAATGAATATTACAAATAAATAAATAAAAAATGCAAAAAATTAAATTTGATTTGCTTTATAGGATATGTGCAGGTATTGAAATGGCGGTCTAGCAATAATCTAGTAACTTTATCTTTTTACTTTGATAAAATAAGAAAACTTTCTCTGGGTAGAAATGGATAAGAAAGAATTTTAACATAGATCTAAATTGATAGAAATTAACAGATATAAAATGATAAAAAAAATGTTTTATTGGGATGGATTTGAATAGATAGAAAATTCTGGATAGAAAAAGATAATTTTTAAAAGATGCAAAGTATATACTTAGTAAGGATAGAAAACTTTTATCCATTTTTATCCATCAGTTTTTATCTACTTCTATCTTTCTACTTTCAACAGGGTGAGAAAAAAAGGGTGCATTGCCTTATATTTTCTAGTAGCGCCTTTTTTTCAGTGTACCTTATTATTTTCTAAAACATTTATTCAAATGTTACAAAAAAAATATGCCAAAATTTTTCATTTTAGCAAGAACTGTTTCCATTTGAAGATAGTGCAGGGAAGGTAACAGTTTCATATTACTATTTTGTAAATGGAATAAATATCCTAAATATTTGGCCTTTATAAAGCAACTTTAAATTCATATTAGTCACAACCTAATAAAATTGAGATAAGAATGCCACAATTATCATTTTATGAAATTTCCTATCTGTGTGTATGTCTGTTTGTGAGTTGCAGGTTGAGTTATGGCCTAAGTCAAATATTTGGATAAATGAAACAGTACGTGATGATATAAAGAAAGAATCTAATTTAAAGCTGGTTCCGTTAATGAGAATCCTACTACAAAATTTAATTGGTAAAGGTAAATTTAACCTTATTGAAACTCAAAGAAGGAAAGGAGCAAAAAAGTTACCACCAAATTTTAAAATAACCATCTACGGTGAGTTTTTAAAAAATTAAAAAATCAATATGCCTATGAAAACTAGAAAACAGCATTTTAAATCGTATCACAAACATCCAAACTTATAGATGATCGCCGATTAAGTTAATTTTGTATCTTTTATTTTAATTTTTTTTCTTGTAAGAAAATAAAAATCGATGATCAGTACAGAATTTATAAAAGCGGTATATTTCCAATGTGTCTGACAAATTGGACCCAACCTAAATTTATTTTAGCTGAATCGGATTATGTGGTCACAACGTTGATTGTGTCTTCCTTTATATTAAATATATTCCTAATATTGGTCATCCACATTGTTGGAACTTACAGGAAATATGTAGGAATATTACACGTGTGAGACAAAAGAAAGGAATTGAGATACAAATATTGATACATTATTGAACAATTAAGAATTTAATGTTTAACATAAATTTCATGGATTCTTTAGGCTTTACTTTATTTTTGAACCGTACAACTTTATGTACACTGTAAAAAAATCTGGTGTAAAATAACACGAAACTTGTAATTTCACACATCAAAATTATAGGTTGTACGTAGTAAATTTATTTCGTTCCAAAAGTAGTTTTACTATTTTTAATAATTTTACATTATACGACTATGTAATTTAATAGTTTTGTGTAAATTTACTACGTCCGACGTAGGAAAATTTGATCACTATGTCCGACGTGGTATTTTTACATTGCGTGTATTTCTACACTTTGACGTAATATTACGTCGCACGATCTGTACAATTACATGGCGAATGTAATTTTCTTATTCCTTTAAGATTTTCAAAAAATTTTCAAGTTTTTATAAATAACTCTAAAAAAGTGTATATAATGTACATTTATAGAAAGTATATGCTAATTCATAAGTAAATAATAATATTACAAAAAGTTTTGGGCTATATTTCATAAATACAAAAAGTTACGACTGAAAATATTATTTCAAAAAATATTTGCAGGTTATGTAGATTACAGTCGGCGTGTAAAAATACCACGTCGGACATAGTGACCAAACTTTCCAACGTCGGACATAGTAAATTTACAGCAGATTTTTTTACAGTGTATTTACCGCAGGACCGTTTTTGTACGACTAACGAAAAATTGCAACCCTAAGTGGGACTCAGGTAATTCATTTACCTGGTTTCCCTTTCCACACAATTTTCCTTCAAGATTCATTTCTAACATTGATATTAATAATTATCGTTGTATTCCAACACTTTCCCTCAACGATAATTTTTTTCTGTATTAAATAATTTTATAATATAAAACTAAATTGAACACTTTACACATTTGAAAAACTATAAAAGCATTAACTAAAATTTAATTGTATGCAAATACACTGAAGAATTGAACTCTAAACTTATTGTCCTTTAAATTATTGTCTTTAGTACCCCTTTTTGTTCTGTATCGCTATTCTATTGATTTCACTTTTTAACATTTGATAAATCCATATAAATTTCCGGTGGTATACCTTTATTATCCCTACTCGACCTTCTTAACCCATTGTCATTTTTGTGATGACTTTCATCGTCAGTGATTGACTTAAACGATTCTGACGAATAATTTGATTCCGATGCACTTTCTACACATGTTTCTTTCCCTGAACTTTGATACTCTTCTTCTATTTGCTTTTCATCTGAATTTTTATTGACAACATTGTTCTGCAAATCCTTTGCCCTTTTCATCTATATTTACCTGGATCCAATCGACATACACCATATTACCGGATTTGTACTGACCGTTGTTTCCATGCTTTGGCTGAGACGTTTATACCTGGATTGACGGGCCTTGATGTTGCTTTCCTTAATTGCACTGCATGTTTATTTTGGATGTCTTCTTTAACTTTTATTACTTCTTTTTCACTCGAATCTTTAGTCTGCAACTCAAAGAGTTTCTTTTTTGTCAAGACCGCTGTTGCTTTCACCTTTCCATCTGTAGGGCTAATAACACTGCAAATTTTATCTTTGAATTGTACACTAAAACTTTTTTCTATTAACTTAGTTACCGACAATAAACTTGAACTCAGTTTTAGTACGTACAAAACATCTGTCACTTTTAATGCGATTTCTTTGCCGTTGTTTACAAGTCTAAGTGTCCTAGAACCGATCCCTTCGACGTTTGTAAATTCGGCTTTATCTGAAAACTGCACTTTCCCTTTCTTTTCACAACAGAATTTTTCAAAAAATTCCTTGTCGTTACACATGTGGCTTGTTGCTCCTGAGTCAATGATCCAGAAATTGGCCTTTATGCTTTCACTTGCACTACACACTTTTGAGCACATATTGTCTTTTGTTGTAAAAGCAAATTGGTCATCTTTATCCACATATGAAACAGTATTTGCTTAATCTTGCTTTTGTTTTAACACTTTATATTTTTTACACTCCTTTTTAAAATGTCCTTTTGTTTTGCAAAAGAAACATTCTATTTCCGATGTCACCTGAGCTTTCATTGCTGATTCCCTACTGTAGCCTTCATTTAGAGCATTCTTATTTTTCCGCCTTTTGTATTCGTCGATTAATTGGCTAGTTGAAATCCTGCGCATAATTTGCGCCAATGTTGCGATTATAAGGTTCCGAAACCAGAAAATTTTTTTTACTTATACATGTTACTTCAAACGACAAATGAAGAAGTTTCCAACAGTTTTTGGGTGGGACAACATAACAGGGCGCTAGGTAGGCAAATTCAAAGACTACTATTTTGAATAAAACTAACTACGGAACATAAAAAACTTTAATACTCCAGTATGTTAATTAAAAAAAAATTAATTCTTATTCCAATAGTTTTTAGACGGGACGACATAACAGGGCGCTAGATAGGCAAACTCAAAGATTGTTATTTTGAATAAAACAAACTCCGGAACCAGAAAATTTTTTTTACTTATACATGTTACTTCAAACGACAAATGAAGAAGTTTCCAACAGTTTTTGGGTGGGACAACATAACAGGGCGCTAGATAGGCAAATTCAAACACTGTTATTTTAAATAAAAGAAACTCCGAAACATACAAAATGGCAAAACTCTAGTATGTGAATTAAAATGGCAAGTAATTCTTGTTACGATAGTTTTTAGACGGGATAACATAACAGGGCGCTTGATAGGAAAATTAAAAGACTGTTACTTTGAATAAATCTAACTCCGGAACATGAAAAATGTTAAAACTCCAGTATGTTAATTAAAATAAAAACTAATTCTTATTACAATAGTTTTTAGACAGGGCAACATAACAGGGTGCTAGACAGGCGAAGTCAAAACTGTTATTTTAAGTAAAACAAACACCGAAACATCTAAAAACTATTAGAATAAGAATGAGTTTTATTTGAATTAACATGCAGGAAAATTAACATTTTTCATTTGCCGGAGTTTGTTTTATTCAAAATAACTGACCTTGACTTTGCCTATCTTGCGTATGTTGTGCCATCTAAAAATTATTAGAATAAGAATTAGTTTTCATTTTAATTAAAATACTAGAGTTATAACATTTTTCATGTTCCGGAGTTAGTATAATACAACATAATAGATTTTGAATTTGCCTATCTAGCGCACTGTTATATTGTCTCGTCTAAAAACTATTGGAATAAGAATTAGTTTTTATTTTAATTAACATATTGGAGTTTTAACATTTTTCATGTTCCGGAGTTAGTTTTATACATCATAATAAATGTTCAAAATGACTATCTAGCGCCCGGTTATGTTGTACCGAATAAAAATTATTTCAATTAGAATTAGTTTTTATTTTAATCAACATACTGGAATTTTAACATTTTTCATGTTCCGGAGTTAGTTCTATTCAAAATAACAGTCTTTGAATTTGCCTATCTAGCGCCGTGTTATGTTGTCCCGTCTAAAAACTATTGTAATTAGAATTAATTTTTAATTTAATTCACATACTGGAGTATTAAAGTTTTTTATGTTCCGGAGTTAGTTTTATTCAAAATAGCAGTCTTTTAATTTGCCTATCTAGCGCCCTGTTATGTTGTCCCGTCTAAAAACTATTGGAATAAGTATTAGTTTTTATTTTGATTAACATACTCGAGTTTTAACATTTTTCATGTTCCGGAGTTTGTTTTATTCAAAATAGCAGTCTTTTAATTTACCTATCTAGCGCCCTGTTATGTTGTCCCGTCTAAAAACTATTGGAATAAGAATTAGTTTTTATTTTAATTAACATACTGGAGTTTTAACATTTTTCATGTTCCGGAGTTTGTTTTATTCAAAATAACAATCTTTGAGTTTGCCTATCTAGCGCCCTGTTATGTTGTCCCGTCTAAAAACTATTGTAATTATAATTAATTTTTAATTTAATTAACATATTGCAGTTTTAACATTTTTCATGTTCCGGAGTTAGTTTTATACATCATAATAAATGTTCAAAATGCCTATCTAGCGCCCGGTTATGTTGAACCGAATAAACATTATTTCAATTAGAATTAGTTTTTATTTTAATCAACATACTGGAGTTTTAACATTTTTCATGTTCCGGAGTTTGTTTTATTCAAAATAACAGTCTTCGAGTTTGCCTATCTAGCGCCCTGTTATGTTGTCCCGTCTAAAAACTGTTGTAATTATAATTAATTTTTAATTTAATTAACATATTGCAGTTTTAACATTTTTCATGTTCCGGAGTTAGTTTTATACATCATAATAAATGTTCAAAATGCCTATCTAGCGCCCGGTTATGTTGAACCGAATAAACATTATTTCAATTAGAATTAGTTTTTATTTTAATCAACATACTGGAGTTTTAACATTTTTCATGTTCCGGAGTTTGTTTTATTCAAAATAACAGTCTTCGAGTTTGCCTATCTAGCGCCCTGTTATGTTGTCCCGTCTAAAAACTATTGTAATTAGAATTAATTTTTAATTTAATTAACATATTGGAGTTTTAACATTTTTCATGTTCCGGAGTTAGTTTTATACATCATAATAAATGTTCAAAATGCCTATCTAGCGCCCGGTTATGTTGTACCAAATAAACATTATTTCAATTAGAATTAG